AGAGCAGAAATCCCAACACATGGTCTATACGTATTTGATAAACACCGCGCCGATAATTAAGTTCTCGTATAAGTAAATAAATGCATTCATTCCTTTTTAACCAGCTCATGTGTCGATGTATTTTGAATTTTTTTGAATGTTTGTAGTCGTATCATACCCTGTATACTTATAATTTAATGTGTTTTAGTTTTATTCTCAATAGAGTTTTAAATCTCAAATTTATTACACAGATTTAACTGCAATAATCTCACAACCCTTTCATATTTAAAACACATTGCTTTTTACCTACATCTATTCCAGCAATGAATACAAAATATAACATACCCGCCTGTAGTCTTTCACTATTAGCGAACCCTTATACCTGCATCGAGTACCTTTCCTTTAACCGCGGTGTGGTATCTATCCTATTTTCAAATAAAAGTAGCCTCTTTGTTCGAGGCCGCGTTAAATTTACCTTCATTTAGCGACTTAAAATAAATAATTATATAATTAATGATTGACAGGTCATTAATTATGGACAAGGTAATTAATGATTGACAAACGCTAAGTACACCTTGTAATGCATTCATTGTTTTTCATATAGCGGCCATCTTGGATGTAGAAATCTGGGGATAAATTGGGTTAAGTGTTGGGGAATTTGACGCTTTACCATATGCTTAGACAATGGCATTACGGTGTTGCCGGTTCAATTTTTTCCCCAGATCTGGGGAAAAATCAGGTAAAGTGGAGTAGAGTGCTGCTCTTACTACTGATGCTGTTAATAATAATGTAATAATTAGTCAATAAAATTATATAATCTTTGTTACCATCGTTATCGTATCATCCTGTAAATATTTTTTTAATAAATAGACAAATTGCAAATACAAAAGCTTTCCAATTTATTATTACTATATCAACACATTATTTAAATTCTAAACATCGAATCAATTGCCTATCCACTAACTTATTTATACTAACCAAACATTCATCCACATTTACACTTATTAATTACTAATATTATACAAAATTTAACAAACAAATAACGAAATTACTCTTTGAAATTGAAATCTAAGTCGATATATGCCAACGTGACATTTATCAAAATTCTGACATTTCAATAATCAGCTATATATCAATGATTTAAAAGAAAAACTCCAATAAGATGACTATTTTCCTATTATAAAAGTAAATATAGTCTTTGTCAAGTTATTGAAATTGATATCGTCTTTATACTCTCACACCAATAATAACGTGATTTACTCACAGGATAATGTCCTTCTATCCAGATCCAAATTCCACTGTTTTTATCTAGTTTCTATTTCATGTGTTCAGGTTTCAGCAGACTTTTTGTACGTATTTGGGTCACCGTACAATTTCACGCGTTTAATCTATTTTACAACTATACAACTTGTCTATTTGCTTCTTTATAATCCAATTATTATGATTTTTATAAATATTTCATTTATTTAAATTTAGGGCATTTTTAAGTTCTAGCAATTTGAAAATTCATTCCCTGTCAGATTTTTTTTTTATCAACCTTCATATCTCTTTCCGTCTCCACGGATATTTTGACATTTTCCCAAAAAATTAAATTTGCTGTACAGGATGATATTTTTTTAGTTTATTATTTATGCAAATATACATTTTATTGACTAATATTTTCTTTTAATTCATAATGATTCCTTATCATGACAATATATATCTATATGAATTTACGATTTTCATTATATACACCTATTCTTTAATGTTCAATATTAATGAAACATCCTTTATTAGGGTGTCTTGAGTATATCGCTGTTAGTGTTTGAGATAAGAATTTATTCTTAACAAGAAGGGCAAGGTATATTACAATAATTTAACACTATAATATCTCAAAATATTTATTTTTCTATTTATTTTAATAATAAATTACAAATTAGTAAAGAACAATCTTAAAGTAATTTAACTAAAAATGGCTGATTTGTAGGGTTGCCAGAAGTCACGCTTTAGGCGTATTTTTCACGCTTTTTGACTTCATTATACGCTCAACGCCACAGTACGTAAAGTCCCGCTTTTGAGAAAAATGCCACTCTTTTTATGCAAATGCCACGCTTTTTATAGAAAAATATAAGGTAAAGGCCTTTTTTTAGATAAATATCGGCTAAAGGACCCTCGTTTCCGAAAAATACAAGCTGATGACTTTTTTTTTTTAATTTCACAACTTGATTATATATAATATATATTATATAAATGTGGCAACGCTACTGATTTACCTAGACAACACACAATCCACAGTCCAATGGACGTCCACTTTAGATCCATTGAGGGCCTGAACGTTCATATTCGTATTCGGACATCTAGTGTACGTCCGTTTATGATCATTAATTTGACAGCTGCATATCGCGATGTCCAAAGGACGTCTCTTTTTGGACTTAATTTTAAGTTAAGTATTATTTTGACGTCCAGTGGACGTCCATCTTAGGTTATTATTTATTTAGCCTACCAGTTAATACCCATCTATATACATTTTTAATAGAATTGGTCATAAAAAAATGACAAATTAAATCTATTACATTTCATTCTATCAACGGAAGTTTGAAATCTTATTCTATTATAACCGTATCTAGTAAGAATTTTTCAAGTGGCTCCTTGGTCGAGGTCGCCTAGCGCTTGAATGCCCAGAAAGACAATGGACATGTCGTGAGTTCGATCCCGTCTCTGGTCAAGTGATTAAAAATAATAATAAATGGTGTATAGCGGGTTGCGAAAATAATAAATAAATTATTAATAATATACAATAGTGTGTGGTGAGTTGCGGTTGTTGTTGTAAAAAAAGTAGGGATTGTGGTCTCAATAGAATATAATCCACGAGTGGACTTTTTTGAATGTCCAGTATTGAACGTCTAAATATAATTCAGAATTGGACGTCCTATGAATGGTCAAAAGTGTTCCATTTGTATACGTCCATTGGACGTCGGAAGGCCAGAAAAAACTCATCTTTGGACGTCCAGACATCCAAAATTGTGTATCAAATGGACGTCCAATGGACCTATTTGTGCTGTCTGGGTGAAGATGTTACACTTTTGAACTGGGACAGCGATATGCCTAGCATATGCTAAATTTAAATACTAATGAAAGTAAATACTTTTTGCATACTGTATACATACTTGAAGTACATTCTCAGTATCTGCACAGAACATATAAATGACGTCCCGTAACATATACTTAGTATATTCTGAGAATGTACTAAATGCAAATAAAGTATATTCTCAGTAGGTATATGCATATTCTTAAAAAGAATATACTAAGAATATATAATTGTTATCTGAGAAAGAAACGTTTCTGGAATCATTTCTCATAAGAACGTTTTAAAAACATCGAAATTATGAATAGGTAATATTTTTAAGACTAATGTTCTATTAAAAAAGTAATGTATATGTACGGTAATAATGAAGCATATTAAATATTACATTAGTATTATAAATGTTACATGTCTTCCGATATATAACATTGTTCCTTACATATTACATCATCTATGAAGAACCTGCTATAATACAAAATTAGGTAATTTTTTACAGTAATCATGTGAGTTATGTAACATGTAAGTTACTTTGTTATGTAACACGATATGTAAATATATATGTTATTTGTTTGTGTTTGCTGGTCACATATTAAATGCATAATTAATCCATTTTGTCAAATTCGCACTTTATTTACAGAAAAAACTCAGCATACAATAAAAAAATTACATCCTTAACCATTTTTTTCACAAATCTTTTCATATGCGTTTTAAATGAATATTTTGTGACTTTATATGAGTATTCAACTAGCAAAGTGTAAATAAGGGCATTTTACTCTTGAGTGCATTTTTGATTTCCCTCGTATAAACGCATTTATTTTAAATTTTATTTAATTTAGTATTTGATTTTAGACAAAGCACCAAATATTATTAAAAATTCATCTTGTTAAGAAAACGGTGAAAAATAAGTGTCCCTGTATATATAATTTATATTTCTGTAAATTGTAAATATTCATAATATATATTTCTCTAAATTCAAGACAATTTTAAGATATGGCAACACGGCGTCGACACTTTCGCTACTTTTGCTCCATCGGACACCTATAACTTAGGACCTGAACTAAAATTCAACATGGACGCAGCTAAATTTAAATTTTATATGAAATCGTATTTTGTGCAGAATTTAAAAAGTACACAACATTGATTATTAAAATTTGGCAAGAATATTCAAAAAATTATGTAGAATGCTCTAAAACTGCATCTGTGACTTATCACTTCTTTATATTTTTTAATAGTATTTAATCATTAGCAGGACAAATGAAAATGTCTTATTGCAATCATTAAACATTTTACTATAAGCTGCCAAAGTTTCACTAAAATCCATCCAATGAAAAATAAGTTTTGTAAAAAATCGTAAACCTCTGTTTTGGCCACGTAAAATACACTTAAATGGCGTCCTTAAACGTCAAATAAATATTTAACTGCCGAAATTTTGTTAGTTTATTTAAACGTTAATTTAATCATCAAATAACGCTATTTGACTTTGGTGAAACATTTTTATTTTACAGTTCAATCTTTGAATAACGCCTTATTTATCGTTAGTTAAACCGGGCATTAATCATATTTATCAAATATTTGTGTAAAAACTTAAAATTACCTACCACTGAAAACATTTAGTCATGCCCGTAACCTCCGAAAATCTACAAATTTTGGAGCCGTGACAGATGCCAGCATCCCATTACACATTCCAATAAAGTTACTGTCTGCAACAGACTATTTAACTATACATTAATTTTCGAATTACTTCGTTAGAATTAGCTATACAACAATGCATCGCCATTTCTGATCATATTTACCTAAAAACAATCAATAATGGTCCCTTCTTTAAAGTTTTACTTAAATGGATATGATTCAACATTGAAAACCACATTTTAAAAAATGCTGTTTTATTTTATGATTCCGGTATTTTTCGATCGAAAAAGTTCGTTCTAAAAGATTAAAATATGTTATAAATAATTTTTAGTGGTTTAGAGATGAAATAGGAAAAGAGGAACCAGAAGAATGTCAAATTCTTTTATCACTGATCACGCCATTAGCTCAAGCTCATGGTTTGTTAGTTAAGGATCTTGAACAGAGATTGCAAGGTTGGGATAGTACAGGAGGACCAAGGGCAGCAGCAGGAAGGATTGCTGACGTTCTTTTAGCACATTTGCCCCCTCTTTTACCCGTAAGTATTTTAAAAATATGCAATAAAATATTTATTTTATTTTTCTAACTTCAATTTTCAGATCTACGAGGAATATCTAGATGGACATATGTTAGTCTTAGAACGTTTAGATACAGCTTTTAAACAAAACAACCGATTTGAGCAACTTTATCGAGATTTTGAGACTCAAAAAGTGTGTTATCTTCCATTAACAACTTTCGTTTTAAAGCCCCTACACCGGTTGCTTCAATATCAGGCACTATTGCAGCGACTATTAAAACATTATGGGCCTAATCACCCTGATAGGGCTGACTGTTTGACAGCCAGTGACACTCTAAAGGATTTGATGGTACCTGTTTCTGAAACTTTGGAACAGTCGAAAAATCTGGCGACATTGTGTGAGTTGCAAAGGGATATAGTTGGGTTTGACAATTTAGTACAATCTGGTAGAAAGTTTATAAGACATGGATGTCTGTTGAAGCATTCCAGGAAGGGGTACCAGCAGAGGATGTTTTTTTTGGTAAGTTTTAAATACATAAAATAATATTTTCTTTAAATCAAAAAAATAGGAAACCTGCCTATATCTAACCAAAAATATTGAGCCCATTAACTATCTCGACAGTTTTCTGTTTTTAGTTTTCTGATATCCTTCTCTACACATCCCGGTCCCAAGCTACACTTCAGTTTAAAGTTCATGGTCACATGCCTTTGCGGGGTGTCTTAATAGAAGAACCAGATGGGGATTTGACATTCAACGGGTTAATAATCTATGGAGGCAACAGAGCACTGACGGTTGCAGCTAATTCTCCAGAAGAAAAAGAAAAATGGAAAATAGATTTACAGAATGCCATTCAGCTGGCCAGAGATAAGTCTGATACGAAGATTACTTATTTGAGCCTAAAAAGTTGCAGTAAGTGCGTGCTTAATATAAAATAAGTAGAAAATAATTTCAAAGAAGAAACGATGTTTTTTTCTTTAATTTTTATACATCCTTATAAAAAGTTTTAGTAGACATTACTAGGACAATTAATAATTTATTAGTATCTTTCTATATTTTTTTGTTACAATTTGGTATAGATAATTTACAGAAGAAAATTATAGGTATATTTTTATTTCTTTAGGTTCTTCGGATGAACACATTGATCAAGCAGAAAATAATGACGTGGGGACCCAAACTAAACCTCAAGCTCAAAGAAGTAACTCGACAGTACATGTTTGCTGGCACAGAAGTACAAGTATAAGCATGAAAGATGAGTTGCTTGCTGTTGAGGTTAGTTTTCAGAAAATCTTAAACATTAAAACACATCAAAGATATTAATTACTTTTTTCAGAACCAACTTTCGGGATATCTGCTTAGAAAATTCAAAAGCAGCAATGGCTGGCAAAAGCTTTGGGTGGTATTTACATCCTTCTGTCTTTTCTTCTACAAAGGTTGTTTAGATGAATTTCCACTGGCATCTTTGCCCCTTTTGGGGTACTCGGTGGGGCCTCCACAGGTCGATGATCAGATTGGAAAGGACTATGTGTTTAAACTACAATATAAAAATCACGTTTATTTTTTTAGAGCTGAATCGGAATACACTTACACGAGGTAAGTTAAGAATATTTCTAAATCTATACTATTGATAAGCCATATTGTAATTAGTTGGAAATTTGGGCAATTTTATTTTTCAATATAGTTTTGCATCTGTTAAATATCTCAATATGGCCCACGAATTAATGGTTGATGTAAAAAATGACTAAATACCTAGTTTTTGAATTTTTATTATTTCGTTTAAGTTATTTTGGATCTAAAAATAATATATTCCTAAAGTATGTTATGTTGGGTATGGTAATGCACTGCGACCTTAAAGATCTCTTGTACCCCCTTCTGTCATTAATGCATCGAGAAAATAGTCTCGATGCCTATAACAACCCTTCCAATCGTATCTTCTCAAGGAAGTGTAGGATTTGGAGTGGCTCCAAGTTAGATAGATCGCCTTCTCTTATTTGTTGTGCTCCTAAGTATAGTGCCCTAGGATTCTGGAGTTCTCAAAGCTCCTCTATTTACCTTTAAAACCCGGTCATACATTGCAAAGAAACGTAGCGCGTAGATATTTCGTAAATGAACCGACATGCGTTGTCTGGTGCGCTGTTGCCAGGCTGTGTAGTTTATCCCTTTCATATTTAAAAATAGTTTTACCTATAACTAACTAATAGCATCAAATTTTATTAATTAGAATAGTTTCGAAATATACTGCGACACATCAAGCGTCCCCACCAATTCATTTTCGTACCTAGTGCAGTGTTTCCAACTCCGACGCATTGTGGGCAGAGATGTTGCAATATTTCCCGAAACATTTCTAATAGTAATGACTTGTAACAAAAAAAATAGTATAAAATGTGTACAAAGTAGATTAGGCTATTTTAAGCGCTTTCAGCAGACTTGATATTTTAGCAGCACCAATTTTCACACCATTGTGCAGGGCATTTTTGTACCTATCATTTTTACATACATACGCTTGCTAATATCAACTTTTTAAATACTAAGAGAAACTATGGCAAACACCATTATTATTCCTGAATATAAATGCAAGGATTTTAAAAGTTAAACGTGGCACCACCGCAATTTAAAATAACCTTATTTCATTCATACTATACGTCACGGACGTAACGTAGAGTATTTTATCCATCGATAGTTTGCGACGTTGCGATCCAGTAAATTGTTGCGTATTGGGTGTTTTTGTTAATCTTTAGCCTTTTTTGGAAAAATTTCGGCTTGTGTATAGCTAACAACATGGTTCGCGAGTGCCTTTTGTGCAAAAAAAGTGGAAAATTGGAAAATGTGGGTGCTGAATTATCTTTTCATAAGTAAGTAAGGTTAGGTGATGATGTATTGCATTGTTCAGTGGTGTAGATTTAAAGATTTTTGCCGTAATATCACATGTATTATCTACTTTTGTTTTACTATTATTTTCTATGATCTTTCAACGTTAATTTCGCAAAAAAATTTAATTAATAGAAACACTTTAGTCTGGACTATAGTACTAAAATAAATATGCTTATGCTTGATTTTTAGATTCCCAACTGAAAGGCATACAAGAAATATTTGGCTATCACTTGTAGGACTTGAAGAAAATAAAGGTATCCAAAAAAGAGTGTTATGCTCGGAGCATTTTGACCCTAATGATATTCTTTAAAAAGCAAATGGCTCGAAATATATCATAACTGGAGCACTGCCGAAACTAAGTCCTTCATTGATTCGAGAAAGCTCATTTAGGTAACTAAAAACATTCTTAACACCTTAACTGCGGCCGTATATATTAGTGCTTTTACGCTGACTGCGTTTAAGCTGAATTATTTTTGTGCAGTACAGATCCCCGGGGGTATGTAAGGAACCATTTTTTTTAACCCTCCCTAAACATACAGGGGTTTATTACTAGACTTTTCAACCATATAATTATGGTCTACATGAATCACTTTTTTTAAGATCGTCACAGGAGCAGGAACAATTCATAAATAAAGTTGGTATACGAACAAACATTTTAATTACATTTTTTAATATAGAACAAGAAACATTTTATTTTAAATAGATATTTTTAGTTGTGATCATTATTGAAACATGTTAAACAATATCCTGGCTGGCCTGGACAATCATGGCAGAAGCTTATGACACGCCGCACTTTTTTGTCCGCTTCACGGCTGGTTGATCCAGTCTCTCTCAATTGTTTATAACAACCTCTACAGACCTTTCTTTTTTTACGACCAGGTCCTTCGGGCTTTGTGAAGGTATGTGGACGTTTCTTTGGTGTACCAGGTCTGACAATTAATTCTGGTGTTTCAGGTTGAGGTTTCATAAGTAGTTCAGCAAGCTGCTCCTGAATTCTGCTATACCTAATTTTGTCGGTGCTAGCATATTATAAACAATCCAAGCATTTACTACACTGGTGCCAAGTATTACTTCGAATATTACTTTACTAAAAAAATACTTTATCAATATCATGACATTGCACACACAGGAGCTCTAAAACTTACCAATACCATTTGATGGTCTTACGAATGCTGCTATGGTAAGATGACATTTGGTCGCTATAGTCGACTCCTTTTTTGGATTTGTTGTAATCAATGACAGATTTTGGTTTCAAAATATCCTCTCCTTGTCGATTCTTTTTGCCTAAATTAAAAAAAATTATTATTTTTTGTATTCTGTTCAACATTAAATATTTTGGTATTTGTACTTATTAGAGATGCATCATGTGATGGATCACTGGAAATCATTAAAACCGGGCGTTTATCAACCCATTTGATAATTTTAACTATGTCATTCTGTTTTCCTATAATTTCATTTTTCTTCATTTTTTTTTTCCTTTCTTATTGTTGAATATTGGTGGTATTTCTTTTCGGTTACTCCTCAGTGTTCCACAATAAAGCATCTTTAATTCATACAGTTGTCTTACCAAGTCTATGCTGGAATAAAAATTGTCTTCGTACAAGATTCTTCCTTCCAGATCGAGTATCTCCAAAGTTTATGAGAGCGAATGTCCTAAACTTTCTGACTGAGCTTCTTTTCCAGTGTAAACTTTAATATTACACGTGTATCCACCTGGAGTGCACAGTTTGTACAATTTAATCCCATATTTGTGGGTTTTGTTAGGAAGATATTGTCTAAATATAACTCTTCCTCTGAAAGGAACCATACTTTCGTCAATTACAACTACCTTTCCAGGTTGCATAGTGGATTGAAAATTGTTTATAATAATAGAAAGTATATTTTCTATTTTTGAAAGTCTGTTGTCAGGATCAGCCGTTTCATTATTAGAGAAATGTATAAATTTTAATAATAGGATAAATCGATCACGCGACATACGTGAAGATATGAATTGGTTATGAAACATAGGATCTTTGGACCAATATAAATTCAGTGCAGGTACTGATGTTAGACCCATGGCAAGTAAAATTCCAAAAAACTTACGTATTTCATCTCTATTTGTATTATTCCATGATTTCATTCTCGACTTATTTTTATGACCTACATTTATTTGCTGCAGAGCATATATATTTGTTTCAGTTACAATAATGTCCAGTAAATCATTAGTAACGAAAAACTGGAAAATATCTATTGGATGTTTCTCTTTCGCGTATATGTGCGGTGCTAAGGTACAATCTTCGGGGATTAAATCAAACTCACATTCGCCTGCTTTGATTGGTCCCCATTCATTTTGATCAACATTAGATATCTCTTGATTTTCCAACACTGTACCTTCTATTTCTTCTTGACTATCCACATCTTCGGCACTTTCTACTTCACTGTCTGCCTCTGATTCAGATTCATAATCTGTAGAAGATGGTGCATATGTTCTATCATGCAAAGAATCATCACTAAATGGTTCAGAAATCTCGTCTGGTATATTACTATTTGTTTGCGAATTTTTCACATTTACTTCCTGCATTCGTTTTAATATATTTTGTTGAGAAGTGCCTTGGCTTTGCTTCATTAGAAATATTACAATTGTTTTCTTTATTTGCCAGGCCGTCTGTGTTATTTTCAATATTATTTCTTGATTGTACTAATCCCAATATTCGGTTTGTACGATTCGACATCGACATTTTATCTATTAAACTCCGTAAAAACACAACCTTACTAGACAACCCAACGCGGAGTACTAAATGAAGCGATATTACCCCTTCTTGTTCCAACTTGTCAGCAGCCGCTAAATTCATTTGTATCTACTGCACCAAATAGTCAGAAACTATACATATCCCCGGGGATATGTATCGGAGGCATGTACTGCAACACGCATCATGTTATATTCGACAATCAAAAAGATTAAGAATTCTACAAAAACCGTTAAAATATCTTGAAAATTGTAAGTTGTTAATAAACGTTACATATCCCCGGGGATATGTATCGCAGTTAAGGTGTTAATTATGTTTCGGAAATGTCCATTTAAGTGTTTATCCTTTAAGATGGAAGTTGGTAATTTACACATAAATTTTTATATTGTAAGTTCGTTAAATTTTGTAGGTGCTTAACAAGGACAAACTTTTTTATAAACTCATATTATATGCCTCTTTCTTTTATTATTTTCAGGGATTACCTTATTATTAATCAAAATGTATACTTATCTTTACATTAAAAGTTCTGAATACTCTGTTACAGCTCTGATTCCAGTATCAGTATTTTTGACAGCCCTAATAGAAACCAGAAGATAGTTTATCTATGCCGCATACATTTAGAAAAAACCTATTTATAAATGATAATAAGTAAGTTAGTTTACTGCCTAGTTTTACAAGTTAAAAACTATCAATGGATAGGTTTATTGTTGTACAGTTCTACGTGTTTTCGTATTTTACAAAATTCTTATCGCCAGATCCGCTATAAGAAGTGTTCTAATTACAATCCCTACCTTGTGTATGGTAAATTTATTGATTTAATAACTTTTATAAATTTATTAGTGTTAAAAATCTCTCATTTACCAATTTGTAAAACTGTTCAAATTTTAACCCCAAAATTGGAATTGAAAGTTTTTTCCACTGAACTTCATACCCTTATTCCAAATCAAATCGGTTTTAAAGTTTAAACCATTATAAAGTTTATTGCACACCATATAG